GTTGCTTGTTGTGGCGGTTGTCTCTTCACATAGCTGAAAGCGAGACAGGGTTCCTATTCATCAGCACTCCACCCTATGGCCCGCCATCTTGCCAAGACCTACAACTCCCATCCATCATGGTCAGTCACGGGGACTCAGCCCATGAGCTAGGGGACAGCACATGCATTCAGTCTGTACAGAGTTGTTTCTTGACCCTCACTGAAATTGTTCCCTGGGGCACAGTTCAGCCACACCGGTAGAAGCCTGGGTGCTATTTAACCATTTCATGAATATTCTATACTGCTTACCTAGGGAAATGGGGAAAACCAGCATCCTTATTACATAATGCTTTGAATCCTTGGGAGAACAAGGCAAGAATAAAAGAAAAACACCACAAAATAACAAGTTTGATTAAATATGATTTGTGTTTTTGTTTTATCTTGTCATGTAGCTCTGACTGACATGGAACTCACTCTGTAGAACAGGCTGGCCCAGAACTCACAGAGATCTCTCCAGGGCAGGGACTAAAGGCATGCACCACCACAACTAGCCTTAACAGCTTTGAAAACGAAGTGTCCTTAGAAATTCTTTCACTGTATCAGGTTGGCTCCGCTTTTTATTTATTTATGCCTTTCACCTTAAGTTTTTTTAAATTTTTTTTTCATTTTACATATGAGCCCCAGTTCCCCTTTCCACCCCATTTCCCATCTCCCCATCCACCTCCCTCCATCCACTCCTCAGAGTGGGTAAGGCTCCCTTGGGAAGTCAAAAACTTGACATATCAAGTTGAGGCAGGACTAAGCCCACCCAGCTGTATCAAAGCTGAGCAATCACCTTATGTTTTTGGTGGGTGGGTTTTGAGACAGTTGGAGCTCGCTCCATAGCCTGGGTTGGGCTTGAACTCAGAGAGAACCACCTGCCACTGCCTCCTAAGTGCTGGAATTAAAGGTGTGCGCTACCACTGCCTGACTTCACCTGAAGTCTTATTTAGAGCGCAGCACCCGTGTGTCCTTGTTCCCATTTACCCTTGGGACTTCTCCACAATCAAGTTGAACTCACCCCTGAGTCTAGATCCTTTAACACTAACATGTTTCTACCATGAGAGCGTCTCTGATTCCAAAGAATGTCTTCCTGGGGGTTAGCAAAGCTGCAATGTGCTGGTCCGCGATAAAGCATGCATCCTTCTGCAGCTGGGCTCAGCCACTTGTAGCTTCTTGTCTCCAGGTGCAGAAAGTCTTTTCATGTCTCTACTATGGCGAGCATCTGGATTTATAGCCCTCCGAGTTCAGGCCCTTCGGCAGTAGCCTTTTTCTTATACACATCCTCATATGGTATTTTCTTGCCAGTGAGAAGAATGTTTGTTGATTGATTGCTTTCTCCTGCAAGGGTTACATTAAAAAGTTTCTTAACCATGTGCTCGCGTTTTCTCTCACTGTGTTTCTGAGATGAGGGTTAGTACCCCCCACACACATTTCTTGTATCTCTCCTTACTTTGCTTGAACAGAGCAGAATAGAACTGTGCAAAATTTTTGCCCCGTTATTTCTTAAATGTTAAATTTTTAATATCAAAATACAGTTATGTCCCTAGGTAGTGGATTAAGGTCCATAATAATGTGCGTTTACTTGAACCTTGCTTCTCATAGATGACCCTGAAATAACATTTGGCTATTACAGCAGTAATACCCAAGTTCATTTTCAACTTGTGTCTAACAAAGATATAATTAATGTCCCAAACCCAAGGTTGCTTGCTGAGGAACGATGTTCACAGCTGGAGCAAAAGCACTCATTGTATGGGCTACACGTTGTCTCTCTGTAGCCTTGGATAAGTTATTACTCACCGTATATTAACCATACTCTTTGCATCTTTTCAGAACACACCTCTCCCCCTCTTTTACTGCATTCTGTAAATTAGGCACTCTGTACACGGTTCCTACTAGAGCATTTATTGTATGCTTTATGGCCCTTATGAGGCCTATTGTCTTTCATGATTTTCCTCCTTTCTTTTATCTCTGTCGATTATAAATTGCTTTGGAGTTTTGTCTGCTTTTTTAATTATATGCTCTGCACTGGGAGGATCTCTACAAGTTATTAGCCTCTTGCAGCATGAACCCTGCGTCTTCCTTGTGTCTCGAGGGTCTCTTGTCTTTTTTCCTAATCACAGTCTTATCTCTGACTTGGATAAGTGGCCACTTGTTCAGTGGCCATAACAGTTCATAACTGGCTCAGGAGCTCCTAAGTCAAGTTCTGTGCTTCCTCCTTGTCAAACCTTTAAAATTCATTTCTGTTGTGGTTGGTCCTGAGAGTTAGAGCAATGATGGAAACAGTTTATTGTGTGGGAAAAGAAATATGTGGTTTAAGAACTCCGTCTTTGTCTTTAAAGGGGTGAGGATGGGATGTCGAGATGGCTCGGTGGCTAGACTAGACGGCTCTTTCCGAAGACCTAAGCTGACACTCATGTCAGGTGGTCCATCACTGTAGCTCTCGCTCCAGTGGCTTCCGTGTCTCTGCAGGCAGCTAGCACACACACTTACACCTCTTGGCCCTCAGGTACAGACGCATACAGTGAATTCTAACTAAGGTAAAATTTTTTATTGTGAAATGAATTCTGGCTTTAGAGTTGGACTTCCTGGGTCCCTACCCTTACTCCATCATGCCATCTGTGTGCTTTTGGACAAAACTCTTAATGCCTCTGTACTTTATATTCTGGTTAGATTGTGTCTCCCCTCACTGGCGTAGTGAAGCCCTAGTCCCTAACCACTCCTTAAATGACTTTGTTAGATGCCATGAGCTCAGACAAGGTCATGTTAGAGGACTGTAGGTCCCCGATCCAAATATGCAAGGGACCTTGGTTTACTTCCCTTTCTTATAACAGAATTCCAGACTGTGTGAATTGTAAACAATAAAATTTCCTTTTGTGTATGGTTCTGAAGGCCGGAAAGTCCAAGAGCGTTGCACAGGTGTCTGGTGTGGGTCTTCATGCTGGATCGAAGCATAGCGGCGGTGGCAGAAAGGCAGTGTGTGGACAGGCATCAGACGAAGGAGGGAAGAGCAGGCAGAAATCATTCTTTCTGTGGGGAAATGGCTCCCAGAGCCACCCCTCCCCAGTCAGCAGAGAAACCGTCTGTGGGGTCAGAGCCCTCTTGACGGTTTACCTTCAGTGGCAACAGAATTCCAGCGTGACTTTCAGAGAGACCTGCAAACGGTGGTAATTGATGTCTCTACAGACAGAAGGAGTCTGGACATGGCCAGCACGCATTATGTGGAGATGAAGCCACGATAAAGATCACTGGAGGGAACTAATTCTACTCCCATCTTATTTTGGAACTCTGTCTTCTAGCACTGGGAGTTTGTGGTGTTTAAGGCCCCCAGGCTGTGGTCCTTCCTCACAGTAGTCCGATCATTGCATGAAAATAACACCCATTAACTCAGGCAGTTTTGAGGTTTCAGTGTGTTATTATATGTAAGGTTCTTCGGGTAGTATTTGACATGGAACAAGCACTGACAATATCAATTAGTGTATTTGTTAAGTGCTAATTATGTACCAGATGCCTTCCTAAATGCTCACCCTTTTATTAGCTAAATCTACAAAGTTGTGATGCCGGAGGAAGAGTAGCCTGCATGTCGTGATAAAATATGAATTCCTCCCTTCTTTTCCCGTCAGCCATTGTTCCATGTTAAACTAGTGAGGGTACAGACGCTGTAGTTGATGTGACAGTCACCACTGTTAACAGCTCCCACACGACAGAAGCTATTGTAGTTGCTGTGTGTTATCACCCCACTGCTGCTTGTCGTGTAGGGTGTCCCACTGGTGTCCACTACTGATGTCGTCAGTGCTCTCAGTGGTCATCGCTCATGAGCCATGTCCTCCTCATCGTAAGCCTTATGACCCCTCCCCCTCAGTTACCCACATTAGGGTTCATAAAACAGTTTTGTCTCTGCGCGTTGGTGTGAGGATAAGTCTGTCCTGGGCTGTTTAGACCTCTCCCCTGCCTATCTACTGCTGTGTTAGACATGACCGGACACTTAGCCTTGGAGCTTCCGTGACCATTTCATTTCTCACGATTTCTTATGCGTTTCGACAGAGCCTCTAGAATGGCTTTACTGAGCCAGTGTGTGTCAGGATCTCAATGCATTGGTCTGACTAGCTCTTTGTTCCCTTTGGCTTCTCTGTGTGGTGTCTCTGCATGACTGAGTTGGGCTTCTTCCCCAAATGGCTGCCTCTCATAGAGCTCCTGTATGGTGGCTGTGAGCTGACCATCTCTAGGACATAGGAGGAAGAGCAGATGTTAGCCATGATCACCCTCAACTTGCCGTTGAAGCAAGAAAGAGGAAGTCTCACGGCTAGGTGTGGAGTCTCAGCTGAACTCTTGCTTTTACACCCTGTTAAAAAAGCTCAGGACTGTGCATATGGGGATTGCGCTGGCGATGTTTTGAAACGTATAACAGTTGCAGTGTTTGAAGAGCTGTTTACAGCTTCTTTGAGAATATAAAAAGAAGCATTTTGTGTATTCAAGCAGTTTTGGACTTTTTATTGCTGTACAATACGAAGAATTCAAGGGAAAGGTTTATAAATCGAGTAGGTGAAAGGTGAGCAAAACCTGAAAATCCACTTTCAATGTTTCTATTTCTCTTTTTATTGCTCATTTATTTTTACAGTCATGGTAAATGCTACCTCTTCTTTTCTGCTAAACTCAAACGGGTGAATCTTGAGTAAAATATGTATTTATCATATTTGCCTCTCTCCTGAGAGAAATAATTAGCATGATATGCTGAAGAGTTCAGATGTTTCCAAACCAGTGTGACATCTGCAACATGAACTCTCATTGTCCACTCAATCAAAGGCTTCCCCGTGTCCTTTGAGGAGATGTGTCCACATCATTGCAAAGTGCTTAGGAAAGCGTCAGTCCGCATGTCACCAGGGCTAGGCTGGGTATGGATTCCTGTGCTGAGAACCGCATTCCATTGTCTGAGAGGGCTTGAGTTGGGCTAGCCAATCAGCACCGTGTTCAATTGTCTTGCAGGTCCTCCACTCCTTCACAGACGCCATCTTTGATGAGTGGTTGAAGAGAAACAACCCTCCCACAGATGCCTGGCCTCAGGAGCTGGCACCCATTGGTCACAATCGGATGTATAACATGGTTCCTTTCTTCCCACCAGTGACTAATGAGGAACTGTTCTTAACCGCAGACCAACTTGGCTACAATTATGCCATTGATCTGGCAGGTAAGGAATACAGCTTCTAAGTGGGTGACTCACTCAACTTCTAAGGCAGCTTTCTCTCTCTCTCTCTTTCGTTGTAATGGCAAGCAAGACTGTTAATTGAAGCATTCAAGCTGAGTTAAGTTTATTGGCTATTTTTGAGAATGCCTTGAATTTAACAAGATAAGTCATTAAGCTACCAGTTAAACATCATACAGGGACTAGGTGCAGATCATTTGGAAAAACTATAAGTTGTTAAGAGACCCTGTTCTCCAGAGGCACCATCTTACTCTTCTGCCTGATTTGATAGTTTCATCTGCACTCATCAGATCCCTAGATCTGCCCTGTGACTGTTTAGATGTGCAGCTGATGAAGTCCAAGCGACTTTTACTTACCTGTGGGCGGGCAGGAACCTGTGCTCTCATCTGCAGGCAGAGCTGTGATTATTGAGACAAACTTGAGATCATGCCAAGATTCAAAGACCAGAAAATAGCAAAACCTCAGCTGTTGTGGACAGTAACAGAATATGGCATGTTAAAAGATTATTATTGGTCACGCAAAGCGTTCACCGAGAGTCACTGCGTAGTTTGGAAGGCCAACTGTTGCTTATTTGATTGATACAGAGTAATTACTTCACATCTGCACCAGGAGTTCTGAATCAGCCTCGGTGACACCGATGTGCAGGGACAGGTGTACCCAGGCTGGCCCTGGGCCTCATAGCAGACCGGGATATGTGGAGGCCATGCCATGTTTCCAAACCCATGTTCTCTTAGTCTAGCTTTTAAATTGTAGATATTTGAAAAATGGATTTCAACCGATTGAAAATAGGGAAGGGTATCTTTCTAGAACGGAAAGGAAGACTCAAAGAAGCCAATGGCCTGGGCCCTTAGATGACACTCTGCACCAAGAGTGGGAAGTCCTGGAGAAGAGACAAAGAGCGAAGGGCTTGGCCTCTGAGGAGCGGCACACTGAGGGGAGAAACGGGAGACAGGGCTGTGTTTGGGAGCTCATACAGCTTAAAGTTTTCACAGCTGACCGTTTCCCCTGCGGGGTTTCTCGCAGTTCCTGTTTCTTTTGAGTTCTTTCATTTAGTAGCTAAGGAAGCGCTAGGCCGTGGCATCTGCTGCATGGCAAACACTTCTGTCTCAAAATGACCCTGTATCCTCGGGTGGGTTGTGAGGAGGGATATTCTCATCCCTCTCTAACCCAAGATAGAAAGTAGTGAGGGACTTGGGAAAGACTTTCCCTCCACGATGGATGGAGAACTGTACTTGAGAGGACTGAGAGCCGCCAAGTAGCTGTCTAAAAAGACCGAAGAAGAAGGGTGGACAGGTGGCTTTAATTGAGGTTTCGAAGAGGAAAGCTTGGTTTCTCTCAGATGACTTCTCAGAGTGCGGCATGTCGGCAGACTGGATCTAAGATGTGTCTGATGCCTTCTACCCCCTCCCTGCCATCTTTATTGTCCTTTTTTCCCACAGTGCAGGGAGGGGCTTTCTCTGAAGTCCCCATTCACCTGAACACCCGGTGCTCCAGAGGATCAACAGAGCAGACTAGATTTGATGGTGCATCCAGAGTCCAGGGAGCTTGTCCCAGGGACACCATGAATTCCCCCTGAAAGCCCACTGAGTCTTTCCCTGAAACCACTCCAGTTCCCACCGGATGGTTCTCAGAGGCTCACACTGTGTGGAGCTCCGTGCACTTATGCAGCTGTGGCCTCAGAGGCCTTTTCTCCTGCTAACATGCTTATTGTTGGTCTGTTTCTTTTATGGGCTCAAGCAATCTTAACTTCAAAGAGCAGATATGAAAGTCCTTTTGCTCCCACACCTTGCTGTATTAGAAGGGCCTAGACAGAGAGTCACTGGGTCTTATGGGAGACTAAGAATCACCCAGGGTTTATTAAAACATCTCAGTTTTCTAAAACAAGAAATCATTTATAGACAATGGTGATGACAGTCACATACCAATGTGAAGGTATTTTAATACCACCAAACTACATTTTAAAAAGCCATGATGGTAAAAACCTATAATATATGCATGATACCACAATTCAGAAATAATTTTCAAAAGGCAAGCAGGATTTGGACACTAAGAGGCAGTCAATTTTGGTGTCTCCTTAAAGAAAGGACAGTATAAAAATCTGCAGTTGGTTGGTTTGTTTTTGAGACAGGATCTTTGCATGTGGCTCTGGCAGGCCTGGATCTTGCTATGTAATTTGCAGTTCAGGCTGCCTTCAGATTCACAGAGATCTGCCTGCCTCTGTCCCCCAAGTGCTGGGATTAAGAGCATGTGCCAACATGCCTGGCAAAACTTCCTGTTTTAAGAAGCTGCATACAGAATGCGGCTCATACACAACCACTCACCACAAGATCAAGGCAGTCTATAGTTTACCACTGGGGTGGGTAGCATCATGAGCCATTATCCACAGCTGAGGCACTGCTTACAAGTGTGTGGCTTCTGAGAGAGAGAGAGAGAGAGAGAGAGAGAGGGAGGGAGGGAGAGAGAGAGAGAGAGAGAGAGAGAGAGAGAGAGAGAGAGAGAGTTTTCTTTAAGAGTGTGAGCATCCAGCTGATGACCCTGTGCTCAAGAATATGAACAGCACAGATTGGCCTCATTGGGTTATCACAAAAAAAAGGACATGAAGTTGGAGGTGGGTAAATAGAAGCTGGATCTGAAAAGAGTTGGGAGAAATGTGGAAGGTATACCCAAACACAGTGTGTGTAATTCTAGAATAATTAATAAAAATACTATATTATGAAAGGAAAAAGAAAAAGCAGTTAGAACCAGCATCAGATGAGTGATTGTCCATCCTACCAGGAAAGGACAATGAAATTCCACTTGGAGAGACACAGCCACGACAGGCCACAGCCCTTGGTGCGATGAGAAATGTAACATGTCCTGGCAGTGAGGGCCAGGGGTGGGAAGAGAAGACGTGGAGGGGACCTGCAGCAGCTGCGAAGCTGTGAGGAAATGCGACGTAGCCATAAGTGTGTTTAAAAACCGCCTTGACTCCATGGAAGACCCCACGCTATGGCTGTGAGTGGAGGATTAGGGCTGCCGTGTGAGAGGCTGAAGTAGATGCGGTTAGCTTCTGCTGGTGAGTGTCTCTGTCAGGAGGGCCCATCGCATCTCTGACATGCATTTATCATCCATTGCAAGGGTAGAGACAACAGCAGAATTTCCTACTGAGGGCTGTTGGTTTAACAGTCCCCCAAAGACCGTCTTGACTCTTGTATCTTCTAATGAGTTTCTAACTTACTAAAGCAGTTCTGCATTTCCTTAGAGGTTTTGTTCTGCACCTAAACATTTACTGGAACAGATTTACAAAATATAATAAGCCTTATTTAAATAATAGAATATCATGTCCAGCTTCCCTGAAAAAAACAGTTGTGGGTGTGATAAACTACAAGAAACCAGAAGATAAAATTCCGGCAAGGATAGTTTTACTTTGCAAAGAAAGACACAGGCGAAAGGCAAACAGCGTTTCTTCCACTAGCAGTGTTTGACTGACGGAACTGTAATCACAAGGTCTTCTTCTCTGTTCCCATTTCAGTGGAAAAAGCTCCAGTTTGGACCACCACCCTCTCAGTGGTCACAGGAACACTGGGAGCTTTCGTCGGTCTCTTGGGGCTGCTGGTTTTCCTTCAATACAGACGGCTGCGCAAAGGATATGCACCCTTAATGGAGACACATCTAAACAGCAAGAGATACACAGAGGATGCCTAGGGTGCTCTTGTCTTACCCCAGGAAAGAGGCTGGCCAAGCCATAGTCCTGGCATAGGCAGTAACTAAATATATCTTCACTGATTTTGCTTTCGGTGAAAGTCTCCAGTGTGTTTTCTTCAGGAGTGGTGATGACCCCAGCATGAGCTCTTTGGTAGTGATGAAGACCCCCACATGTGGTCTTCAGTAGTGATGGTGACCCCCGCATCTGATCTTCTGCAGTGATGGTGACCACCCCGCCCCTGGCATAGATGTTACACATAGTTCCTGCTTTGCTTGTTGCACATTGGCAATGACGCTTGGGCCTATCATATCACCAAAGCGTGGTGGGGTCAGTTATCTGTGACCTTGATTAAAAATCCTTGTATTGATTAAGCTTCTTTCTGTTCTGAAAGCACTGCCACTACCAGCTCTACCACCACATCATCATCACCGCTTGTTATAAGGAGGTCGCTTGTTCTCCCAGCTAGCTTAGACCCAAAATAATCACACAGAAACCATATCAATTAAATAACTGCTTGACCCATTACCTCTAGCTTCTTATTGACTAACTCTTATATATGAACTTAACCCATTTTTGTTAAACTGTGAATCACCACATGGCTGTGGCTTACCAGCTAAAGTTCAGGTGTCTGTCTCTGGCGGGGCTACATAGCTGTTCCCCAACTCTGCGCTTCTTTTCCCCAGCATTCCATTTAGTTTTCCCTGCCTAGCTAAGTTCTGCCCTGCTATAGGTCCAAAGCAGTTTTTTTTATTCATTAATGGTAATCACAGCACACAGAGGGAAATCGCATATCACCTTCCCTTTTTTGTTTAAATAAAAAGGAATGCTTTAACTTTAACATAGTAAAATTAAAAATCAAGCAAGGATTACAGTCACAGTATTTGAATCTACTTTATTTCTTATATCTAAAGAAAACTATAATTATTAGTATAATTTTTAACTCCATCAAAGACTTGAGGATATAATATTACCTAAGTAAATAAGAAGTGCATTGTAAGCAACTTTTAAAATTTTAGAATTGACAGAGACACCTTGCTGCCTGAGATAGTCACCCAGAGTTCTTCTGTACTGTTGGAGCATCCATCTTCAGCCTACAGGCCCATAGTATCCAGTAGACGTTTTCATGAAAAAGGAAATTTAAAAGACAGTTCCACCTATACTGGCAGTTTGTTTGTCACAGTTGTCTGTGTCCTGCAGAATGTCTAACAGACTCTTTCATGAAGGAGGAGCCCCGAAGGACCGTCTCACGTTTAAGCAAGTTCAGAGTTCAGCAGTCTTTTTTTTTTTTTTTCAGGTCCTACATTACATGTCCAGTTTATGAAAAAGTCCAGGCAAGAGTAGTTTCTTGCCCAAATGGCTAGCAAACTCCATAAGGAGCCTCTTTGATGCCCATCTTCCACTTGAGGTAGATTGGTGCTGCCAGGAGCAGATATGTCTCATTGTCATGAAAAGTCCTAAGTTCTTAAACATTTTAAATGCTATATTCCGAAGGTCTCTGAAAGATTTGAAGAATATCTATGTAACTGAAATATATCTCTATATATCTAGAAAACCTAACTAACATGACTACAAGCTTGACTATTATAGATGATTATCTATCAACCTATATTTCTTAATTATACATTACATTTTTAAATGAACTACACAATCACAATACCTTAGTCAAGAGCAGAAATATATATATACAACAAGATTGACCTAAAACTTGTATCAATAAACCAAGATCCATACCAATGCAAATCTCTATAGCATACCCCCTTTAAATGTAAAGAAACATTTATAAACAATATTTGGGAATATGGGCATAGTGGAAAACCTTTCTTAAAGGAGCTGTGGCATGCCACCAGCAAACAGCAAAAACCTGTGTTAAATTCTGTATTTTTGTGTCTAGAATTAAGCTCTCTTAGGTTTTTAAGTGTATTTTAGTTTGCCACATTGGTGCCAATCTATTGTAAGGAGGTCGCTTGTCGGTTTCCAGCTGCCTGGCTATCTTAGACCTGAAATAATCACTCAGAAACCATATTAGTTAAATCACTGCTTGGCCCATTTACTCTAGCTTCCTACTGACTAACTCCTACATGTGAAATTAACCCATTTTTATTAATCTGTATATTGCCACGTGACTGTGGTTTACTGGCTAAAGTTCAGGCATCTGTCTCCAGTGGGGCTACATGGCTTCTCTGTGACTCTGCCCTTATTTTCTCCAGCATTTCATTTAGTTTTCCCTGCCTAGCTAAGATCTGCCCTGCTATAGGTCCAAAACAGTTTTTTTATTCATTAATGGTAATCACAGCACACAGAGGGAAATCCCACATCAACCACCACTACCATCACCACCACCACCACCACCACCACCACTAACAGTACAAACACTGAGTAGATTCCTTTAAATTTGCAGATAAGTATGTTTTGAAATCAGGATGAGATCAGTCAAAATATCTTTGCAAGCAATAGTATTTGTGGGGAGTGTGCTTGTCAGCATTTCACTATTATATTGAAACACATGAAGCAAGCTAACTTTATAAAGAAAAGAAGTTTTTTGGGTTTTTTTAATCACTGTTTTATAGGTGACAAGGACAAGGTGCTGACTTTGGTGGTTTTGTTGTTGAAAGAATCCTAAGGTTGTATAGAGCATTGCATGCATCACGTGGCAAGAATTAAGTGTCTGTGTCTATCTATGTGGTCTCTGTCCTTTTTACAGAATGCATCAGAATTCCGTCAGGGGTTTCACTCTGGTGGCCTTATTGAATCCTAATTACTTGCCCAACTCTAAAACAATAGTTTAAATTTTGCCTTCTTAATTCTTCATAATGGGGGTTAGGTGTTAATCCATGAAGCTAGGCTGGGGACTTGAGGGAGCACACTCAGACACTGTCCAGCCTTCGGGAGGGGAGGGAGTGAGTGGAGCAAACTCACAGGATATCTGCATATCCACCATCTGGAGAGGTGTGGAACACACTCAGACCATGTCCGCTAAATCCCACCAGTCGAGAGTAAGACTACTACCACAGTTTAAATTGAAGCAAGTTTTAATAGAATACTGACCAAGTAGATGGACTCTGTCCAGCTCCATCTCTGGTTTCCCAGAAAAATGGCTCCAAATCAAGTTTTGCAGTGGGTTAAGTATTTCCCATCAGAAATATACATCCTAATGTACCTTCAACCTAGATCCAATCAGGGACAAGTACACATCCTGATGTAATTCCTACCTGCGAATTTCCCACCCACATGTGATCAAGCATGTCTGGTACAGATGGGTAAAACAAACTTGTTTAGGGGACTAAAAGCACATGGCATGTTATCTCCCATAAAAATAGCCTCCAACATTTCAGGAGCCATCTGTCCTTGAGCAAAAGGTTTGCAGATCAGAGGCATTTTTGTTTTATGGATCTCTGTGCCATAGTAATTAAAATGTAACTTTGGTTCTCACACATTCCCCCCTTGAGTTGTATCCTGAGTCAAATCCTTGACTCTATGCTTGTGTAGACTCATTAGTTTAGTGGTACCAAGACAGGAATTATTATTTAGTTAAGGCAATAATGATGAAAAAGCGAACAGCAATTGGAAGAAGCAGAAGGGTCAAAGGCCCTTTAATAGCTGCCATCAGAGTTACTAGATAGAAAGAAACTTGGAAATGAAAATGGGGACCAGTCATTTACTTCATCTTAGGTCCTCTTTTTTGCAATGATTTTTTTTTAGTACAACCATATTATCTCAAATAATTCCTAAGTGGTTTAAATAAAAATGACAATTCTTTTCTGAAAACTATACAATAACCTCTGTTTTACATAGAGCAGGTTAAGTTCCCGATCATATTATAGAACTATTTCAGCTAACGAACCTACCTGTTAGCTGGGCAGTGGTGGTGCACACCTTTAATCCCAGCACTCAGGAGGCAGAGGCAGGCAGATCTCTGTGAGTTCGAGGCCAATCCAGTCTACAAGAGCTAGTTCCAGGGCAGGCTCTAAAGCCACAAAGAATCTCTGTCTCAAAAAACAAAATAAAACAAACAAAAAAAGAATCTACCCATTGATAGATCTGGGTGTACTTGGTTTTAACAGGTACCTGTCCTGAGCCAGTAGATACAATAGGCAGTGTTTTTGTTCCTATGCCAGGGAATTTTCTTTTGATCTAATATTCCAATCTGCTGGGGTGTAAGGGGCAGCATACTCTCTTCTGCAGATACTTCCTGCTGGAAGCGAGATATTGTTGTCAGGGCCCAGGAGTGTGGAAATGCTAGTCAGAGGCAAGGAGGGAATTCAGGCAGTGGGACGTTCATCAGATGCATCTGATTTATTGACCCAGCTAAAGAGACAAGGGGTGTTCACATTGGCTGAGCTGGTCCTCATCATCTTTCAGCAAGTCCAGGGCTCACAGTCGTTTGGGAAAGGTTGTAGTCAGCAGTTAATGCTTGGATATGTCTGTCAGCCAAGTGGAAGTTTGCTGAGACAGATATAGACTAGGGACAGAAGTTAAGATTTAGGAACTTAAGGAAAATCTTACATTTGGAACTTTCAGGCTCATAGTCCTAGTAATTGGGAAAGTGGAGGAATCTCAAGACCAGGAGAAAGAGAGAGAGAGAGAGAGAGAGAGAGAGAGAGAGAGAGAGAGAGAGAGGGTCCCATCCCCAGGAATAGGTAAGTGGGGAAATTTAGGTGACTGTACTAATTTGGAGTCCTTTTGACCTGTGAAAGGTGAATCTCAGTCTTATGACTTTCTAGATTCTCTGACACATGATTTTTTTTAATATAAAAATTTAGATATGCTTGCATTACCAGTTTGTAATGAAATCCTTGTAGAAAGAGCAGGTAACTGGGCTCTGTAAAGCAGCTGGAGCAGACTTACACCTTTGAGTCCTAGCAAAAAGCAATAGATTTGGGTTTAAAAGCATGAACAATTTTTTTCTTTGTCCAGAGAGTTAGATAAAGATTGGACACAGATCTCTTTGGCCCGATGAGAAGCACCCTTCAACCTGCACTCAGCAGACAACCAAAAGAAACTTAAAACCTTGAGCTTCTGACTGAATAGCAACCAGTCAGTTCCCTACTAGTTTATCAGAACTCTATTAGTCAAAGTTAGAGCTTTGAACTTTTGAAATCTTAGTGTAACAATAACAGAATGGGAAAGAAATCAGAAACATCTTCCATTCTCACAGACTTTCAATCACTTACTTATACATTTACAACTTGCATTTATATCTTAAATCACTTTCTGAGACCCTCAGAACTGACTTAAGCTTTCGCTTCTTCAGACCGTTATAGAACTTAGAACATTTTCTTAGACCCTCAAAATTTGCACAGTCTTTAACACTTTTTCCATATAATCTTTACCAGAGATACAAGCAGTTATTACTGAGAATAATGACTAC